GATCAAATGAATTCCTCCGCACAGTCCAGCCAAGCTAGTTATCTGCCCAGAGGCTCCGAGTGATCTGATTCTTGTTCTGTGAAACAATGTCTCTTGTTCGTTCGAAAGTTTCAAAAGTCCAGTATCAGCTCAGTGATTGGCTGAAATCCAATCGTCTCCACCTGGCTTCAGACACGATAGACCGTCCTTCCCGCTGTCCACTTCCTGTTTCCTCGGTGCTGCCGATTCTCTGCTTGCTCTGAAAAGCCTCACTCAGAAATCCCTTTCTGGCCCTCATGACTATTCTTTACAGTGTTTAATACAGTGACTATACTTTTTAGTTTAATACATTCAATGATTATGCTTTTATGGTTTAACATTTCTATAAGTAAACATATTATGACATTTAATATATTGTGACATTTAATATTGACCACTAGGGGTGACATTAATCGTGCCAAGAATGCTTTTAATACTTAAATTCCTCACACAAGGCCCAGACACCAGACGTTTGCCGGCGAGCTCTGGCTGGTAGGCTCTAGAAGGGGTGAGGTGAGTTTCCTATTCCCGTGCGAGACATTTCCGGCCAATTCATAAAGGGTCAGTGACCCTGTCTCTTCATGCCACTTTTAAATACTATAAGTCAGTCGGCCAGGACATTGCACACCTGCAGCATCTGGAATAGGTCATTTATAATTTAAATGTATAATCCAGTACTATGAAATGTTAAACCATTTTTATTTCATTGGCATTCACACACCTATTTCGTCTAGCATTTCTTCCTTGGCACTACAGTCCCAAGCATTTAATATGGAGGTACTTCAGATCCTCTAATATACTGTATGTATATAACTGGTGGTGGTCGTTTGGCTACACAGCTCTTGCTCTCACTGTCGCCTCACGATTTATTAGGGACAAAGCACAAAAGTGCTAGGGCCAAACGGTCCCTGGCACTGAAAGTGTGAGGCACTGAACTTGCAAAGAACCCATTGTTTTTGTAGGGATTCATCATTTTCTGGTGCGCAATTGCATTACTGAGGGCCTTGGGCTGCTTGAAAATTGCCAACAATTGGCCAGTGGGCTCCATAGTGCCCTCAAACCCACGCCAGGGTTGGGATAAAGTTCCTTTGATGATCACGAAATTTGGTGGGATTATTGTTGTTATCTTCAAGAACATATTCAAATTTTTTTTTACCCAACAGGTAGACAACCATGTTGGATTTTGTGTGTTCTATCTCTCACTCTGGTGGCAGTCTTGCTCTGTCATCTTCGTGGAGGTTCGGCTTGATCTGGTTTTCTTCGTCTCAATCTCACTCTCAGCGTTATTCTGAATCTGATGTCAAACTTCATGTATGTATCTGTAAGTATATGAAGATTCTAATAAATTATACAGTTAACATTTACATTTACATAACTCAAACATCTTTGTTTTATGCTAAACTCTAGAGATTTATTGACAATTGTGATGATCTACAGACCAAACTGTGTTTTTATCCAAGAGTTTGCTGAGTCATCTCATTTTATATCAAAGTATGACAACGTTTTAACTTCATGTATGCTGCCTTTCATCAGAAGTCACTGATTTTATGGATACTCTGGAATATTTTAATCTCAATGAGGCAATACATCAAAGTGCAGACAGAGAGGTGGAAAAAATAAAAGTATCTTATTAACAAAAAGATAATGAAGAGAGTGGGAGTCCAGGGAGAAATGTTGATGAAGGGAAAGGTTGACATGGGATAACAGAGCACAACTGATGAGATGATTGGTGATCAGTGTGCTGATCGCTGATTGTAGGCAGGAGTGCGAGCAGGGTGAAGCCGGAAGCCAGGGAGGTGACGAACAGGGACCAAATTCCAAATACCTGTTAGTTCTCGTATTGATTTAAGTTATTTTATGACTTAATAAGGCAGTACATGGCCTTGCACCAGACTTGTCAGAAATACTTTTAGTTTATGAACCAGTAAGACCCCTTAGATCCTTTGGTTCCTACATGTTTGCTGTTCCACAAAGCAGAAAAAAACATTTGGTGCACTGCTTTTAGCTGTTACGCTGCAAGCCCTTGGAACAGCCTTCCAGAGGATCGGAAAGTAGCTGAAAATCTTCAAACAGAAACTGAAAACCCATCTATTCAGTCTGGCTTCATTATTTTATGGTTTTTATTATTGTTTGTTATTATTAAATATGTTTTGATGCTATAATTTTAGTGTGTATACATATATTATTTCTTAATTCATTTTATTATTTGTAGTTTTTGACTTTTTACCATCATCAATTTATTCAGTGTTTTAGTATTTATTTATTTTTCTTAATTTAATTTGGTGTGAATTAGTCTCTTAACCCTCTCTACATTTTTGGCTTGACAATCCTGTGTAAAGCACTTTGAATTGCATTTGATTAGTTTGTCCAATAATTGCAGCGAGTCTCTTATCTGTGGCTGTCAGATCAGGTGGTCATTGTCCTCGTCCTCTAGCTGTTTCCCTCTTTTTCTCTGATCTGTTGTTCTTTTTTTCCATGTAAACTTTATTATCCAACCAATTATTTTTTTCCTTGAGCCACTGTCCTTATCTCAGGGGACACAACATTCACCGCCTATGTTATTGCAGCCCAAGCCTTTTCATCGTTACTCCCATTGAAACAGTTTGACAAAGAAGTGTGCCTTCCACCCCGGACATTATTGTCTCAATTTCTTAAGCCATGCTTCTCTTTTACAACCAACTCACCGCTTTCTCCATGATAAACCTCTTGGCAAAAAATATTCACTTTTATAGAGAAATGGAGGCGTGGCAGTATGCTGATTGCGAATAACGGGCATGTGCTGTCTATTTAGAATGATTCTGAGTCACTAATATACACATGGTGGTAAGAACAAAATCGGTCAAGAAACGTATGGTAATTTTGCATGTGCACTTATTTTGTGTGCAAAGTAAGAACATTTCTACACGCATATTAGACTTTCCGTTGCCACGTAGATGAAACACAGGTAAAGTAATACTGCTTTTATCTTCTGAAGACGTGACTACTGTAACTCCATCCTTACTGGCATCAACCAACAACAACTCTCTCACATCAGAATAGTTGAGAATGCAGAAGGAGCTGGTGTCGGCCTGACACAGGTGGCTAGATAAACTGAAATCCTCGAGGACCTCCCAGGGCCAGGCGGGTTCCCAGGGATGAGTCAGGCTCAGGACTAGGCAGCGGCAGACATAAGAACCCAAGGCCTATGAAACGGAGTGGACGCTGGCTGCTGGCAGGCAGGGGTGAAGGTTGGTTTCAAGCAGTCCGAGGAGTTGACTGGAGACTAGCTGGCTGGAGGTGGCAGGCTGGGGAACGGGCTGAGATTCAGAGGTAAGAAAAAACCATTCAGCCAGTCTAGGACTATAAAATGTGTTGTGTGTCATTATACATCAACCTTACTAGCATTGTCATTGTTTGTATCTTACTTTCAATTCAATTTTTCAATTCAATTTATTTTTGTATAGCCCAAAATCACAAATTTGCCTCAGAGGGCTTTACAATATGTACACATTTGACATCCTCTTGTCCCGGAACCCTCACATTGGAACAGGAAAAACTCCCACAAAAAACTCTTTAATAGGGAGAAGAGAGGAAGAGACCTGTGGGAGAACAACAGAGGAGGGATCCCTCTCCCAGGATGGACAGAAGTGCAATAGATGTCATGTGTAGAACAGGATAACAGAATTACAACACATTCAATGTAATTACAACATATTCAATGTATGACAGAACCACGGCAGGAGGCAAGACCTGTTCCAGGTATAACCCGGATACACAGGAACCTGTGAGGTGAGAAAATACAGAGACTCTGGTGAAGAAGCAGGTCAATAATGTGCATTAATGGTATCGGTAATATGAAATAGTAATGTGAATAATAATAAAAGTGATATTAGCAGTTGGAGTCAGCAGGGCCATGGCGGGAGGAAGGACCAGGGTCCAGATGAAACCATGCTCCATGGAAATCTGTGAGGAGAGAAAGCACAAGGACTCCGGGGAAGAAACGTGCTGAGAAACTGAGAAAAGTCAGTAATGTGCATTAATGGTATCGGTAATAGGGTTAATAATGTTAAAGGAAATACTCCAAGCGGTAACACAGAAAAAGAAAATAGAATAACAATTCTATCATTTTTAGAAACAGTATAATTCAAGTTAGTGGTAGAAAACAGACACATCAACAAGTCAAGTTTCTCATGTATTAGTGACACATACCTTCTGCACAGCACATTACCACTTCTAAATGTCGATGTATATCATATCACACCCATGCTTGAGGCGTGTATCTGCATCCCTGTGCACATATTGATAGAGCACACCATACTATACAAACCACATGGTGACCCACCTCTCAAACATTGCTTTACAGCACTACCCATAGTCAAATACCCCACATGGTATTTTTAAAGTGGAATTGAATCAGCTTGGGGGCAAAGAACAATACCGAAGTTTCAAATGGAACAAGTGCAAAATGAAAGAACTGATCTTCAGTCCTTATTAGGATAATAGGAATATGATATTAGTCAGTAATAAGATAAGGTATATAAATAACCAGGTGTCTGCTGTGAAATATCCTTGTTTTTCAGTATCAAATAAGCAAACTGTTATCCAACATGAAAAGGAATATAAGACTGGGGTTTTATTTGGAGATACCGCTGCATCATTTTAGACAAAAGCCGGAAAACAATATTCCAAAAACATGCTCATTCCAAATGCAACGTTTTTTGTTGTCTGAGAAGTTGGTGTGCAGGACTTTGACAATGTAGACTGGGATTTCTGTCCCACATCCCGCTTCTGGTTATAGTTTATAGCTACTAAAAGGCTGTGGCAAAGGTCAGGGAAAGATTGTGGTCTACATGGTATGAGCGTTCTTATCTTTGTCCACAGGGTTATTAAAACTACAAAAACCTCATAGAGGCCTACACACGAAATATGAAAGAAAAGAAGAAAAGATGGCCTGCAGCTTTGTTCAGTCACTGTGTTCAGTCGGGGGGAGGAGAGGGAGGAGGGGACATAGTGACGTAAGAATCTTAATAATAAGTATAATGTTCGTCCTATTCGGAAGAGTGGTCGAGCAGCCGCAGCAGCTTCGGGTGGTGCGCACGCCACAGAAAACGTGCATTGCAAGATACACCTGGTCACCTCCCTCATTTCTGCACAAAGTGTGGAGCAGTCCAAGGAGCAGAGCAGAAACTATGAGGGTCCGACTGAGACCTGCGGTGCAGAGCTGCGCGTAATGAAGGGCAGCCTGAAGTAGTTCTGCTGCGGTCGTAAGTGCAGAAAGGCAAAATGGGAATGGCGAGTGAGGATCTGCTCGTGACGCTTCAGATACTACCTGGTTTCTTTTCAAACTGTCTCTTCCTTGCCCTGTACGACTCCGTGGTCCTCGTGAAGCGCGCCGTGTCGCTCAGCTGCTCCAGGTCCGCCGGTTCCGGAGAGTGGCGCCGTATGTTGACCTCAGCTGGGCTGCGCTCGATCTGGAATAGCTTCCTTCTCGACGCCTATAAACAGGTAAACGTGTTCAATTTATGGGGATCGCTGCTTTTAATCAATCCACTAAATAAACAATAACAAAAACAGGTTAAAGAGCAGCACATGTAGATCATTTATGAGTTGTATTATCCGCCTTCCCCAAGTGTACGTCCTTATTATAAAGAGCACGGTCTAGACCTGCTGTATAGGAAATGTGCCACGAGATAACTTGTTTTAAGATTTGGAGCAATAAAAGTGAATTGAATTGGTATGCGGAGTTCTGCTGGGAGGCGTGCAGACATAGACACAGAAGGATACAGTTATCTCTGTTGGGTTCATCAGTGATGATAAACGATCTGAAATCTACAGTTTATGAACATTTCATCAGTATTTTATTCGACTCAATAGAAGTAGCATTTCCTTGATTGGTCTCGAATTTTCACGGTTTCCTTGATTCATCTCTCAATATTTCTGACCTATTAAGCATGTCACGCATACTAAACAGTTATTCTAAAATGACGTGTCAAATTCACTCTGTCAAGTCAAAGTCCATCAAATTAAGTAAGTGCAGATAGCACCATTGTATTCCTATTGCAGTTTAATTTGAAGTGTCCTTACTGGATTATACGACAATATATATATATATATATAATATGATATATATTATGTACTTAAGTTAAAGCAATGTCAAACTGTCAGTAAATTATTTAATCGGAGCAGAATTATAGGAGGAAATTGAGGACTATTGTGTGACTGTTATTATTATTATTAGTCACATTACTATTACTATTACTGCTTTTGTTATCATTATTATATTATTATATCCACTGCGGCTGCTATAACTTGTTGTCATCATTTTTTCTATTACTGCTACTATCACTGATACTACTGTGATTATATGTAACATTTCTATCATATTGGTTGACTGTGTTGTCCAAGTACAAAGGATGTTTAATGCTGTAAAGATTGTAAAGTCCTCTGAGGCAAATTTTTGATTTGTGATTTTGGGCTATACACATATATTTCATTTAATTCAATATAATTCATATATAAAAAATACAAAAATGAGTCTGTTAAAAGATAAAGGCAAAGCCCACCTTAAATCTCCTTGATGTGTGCAGTGTGTGAGTAAGGTTTAATCCCTATTTATTATCACCTTAGGTGAAACTTGGCCTCGAGGCACCCAACTCTAAAGTGGTGAAGGTGCCTGACAGCCCTCGATGGAGCAGCAATCTCAGTAATATGACGAATGTGCCACCTGGTGCCATGAGCGCAAATAAAGAGTGTCACCTGCTGGATTTTGAGTCATCAGACCGCCCTCTGGTGGTCAACTTTGGCTCAGCCACTTGACCCCCCTTCATCAGCCATCTGCCAGCTTTCCGTGAGTTGGTGGAGGGCTTCAGTGATGTAGCTGATTTCCTGTTAGTGTACATAGATGAGGCTCACCCGTCTGATGGCTGGGTGGCACCTCCTATGGGCTCTTGCTCCTTCGATATCCCGAAACACCAGAACCTGGAAGAGAGGTTGGGAGCGGCACGCAAACTCATTGAGCACTTTTCCTTACCACCGCAGTGTCAGCTGGTGGCAGACTGCATGGACAACAATGCTAATGTGGCTTATGGTGTGTCCAATGAACGGGTGTGTATAGTAAAACAGAGAAAGATTACCTACCTGGGTGGTAAGGGGCCTTTTTTTTACAATCTGAAGGATGTGCAGCAGTGGCTGGAACAGAGCTACGGTAAACGGTTATCAAGGACAACCACAGAGAAGGACATGTCCCATATTTCATTAAGGAAACAATAGATCAGTTTTGTGTAAGCGTAAAAGTCATGATCAAAAGGTGTGTCATGGTGATATCATCTTCCAAAAAGCTGTAATGAATTAAGTTCCTGAATTGAGGAGCACACTTCTTTACCTTTTTGAAATCAGGCCAATTTTTCACACACCAGTCCATTCAGACTGGGATGATCATATGTAAAGACCCAGACTAACTCAGTCCATTTGTCACATAGTCACGAAATGCAATCTATTGGTGTCTTTTTTTTCGTGTCACTCAGGACGAAAACAATGTCAATGGAAAGTCGATTAGGATCGTATTTTGTGGTGGAAACGCATCCACGTGACAAAGCAACGGTCAGAGCTAGTGACATAGTATCCAATATCGCCAAAGACCACTTATGGTGGGCTGGTGTGGAGGTGGATGGGTCCAACAAACACAGGACTTTCAACCACAAGACCGTTGTTTAATACCACATGTTCCAAAGTGTTGTTGTGGGTTTGTTGCCTAAACCTAACTGTACATTGCTATATTAAGCCCAACCATGATGTTTTTCCTAAACTTAAGGACGTGGGTTTGTTGCCTGAAGCTAGTTTTTGTTTTGGAACGTAATGTTGTCCTTAAAAAAAGTAGTTCCGAGCAACACGAAAAGAAACCCTCTACTTTGAACCAGTCGATTGCATTTTTTGGCTATTTCACGCAGTGCTGTGAGACTTTGTTGTAACAAGGCAGCACATTGATTGGAAGCAACAGTGCGTGAGCTTCATCTGTATTTATGCCCACTTGTGCTGCTAAAATCACGTCTTACGTGATTTTCATTGAAAAACTTAAAAAGTTCCCATTTTTTAAAATGTTTTATAAAATAATACATCTAAAGCGATGCTGTAATTGTTTTGTGGAGAATTTAATATTCCATTTTCTTTTCACTGTGGTCATGTTTTTATGCAATATGTCAAGAACGTAATTGTATGTGTAATGTTTATCTACCCTCCTTTCTCTTTGGATAAATGTTCTTTCATTATGTACATTGTTCTCCATTTGACACCTTTTTTTTTTTTTGCTTCATAGTGTCTTTAACCCCTTGGAAGTGTTTGTGTTTACACTATTGAATCAAAGTAGATATAATGTGGCTTTTACACAACAGACTCATCTCATGTCAAAATCAAAACAGAGCTTTTTGTCGGTTAGAATACCTGTAGACATTACTCAGGGCTGAAAAAGCCCAATTCCATATTCCCCTGGGCAGGGAAGATGGTTTGTATTCACAACAAATCAATATTCCCTAAACAACATCATCAGCATCACAGTTGTATTACTGTTACACACAGTAGGACCATTTGTATCTGGCTTTATATCCCTAACATGATAATGGAAATGTCAGCAATGCCACTGCCAGATAGCAGTTACTGTTGGCATTTAGAATGAATGCATGCATTCATTATGTGGAGAGTTTCCACAGGGATGTCAGGGTTTTCAAGGACTTTTACAATTTTTCCAAAAACAGAGGTCCGAGAGTCACTTGGGGATAATTAGACCTGATCCAGAAGTGGGTTGACATAGAGAGAGAATACCAGGCCTCTGCTTGTCATGTTTTATACAATAGATTCAATATAGATTATATTGACATTCAAGTGTGTTATATGTCATAAAACTAAACATTACAGCTCAAGTTCAAATGTTAGGATTTTAATGACATGAAACCATTAAATATCCTTAATATATTTCTTAACATGTCAGAAAATGTTGAAAGTCAGTAGGTTAGTGTGGTTGAGATGGGTGTCATCATCATCATGATGGCATTAAAGCCCCGTAGGAAACACAGATGGTTTGTTGTTGTCGCAGTGACAAAGGTGTTCTAATGAAAACCTTTGACGAAAGAGTCCCTGACTCAGTCTCTGGTTGGATAGTGAACTGCACCTGGTCAACATTACACAGAACTATTGCATCTGTTTTAACTGCCAATCTGCTAACTGACTTATGTCTCGGTAACTGATAGAGACAACTCTGTGTTTTTATGTCATTTACTGCGCTTTTTCATTGCTGCTTTGGACAATGTTCATTTTTCTAACATGTCAAAGAAGAGAAATAAAGGAGAATGTTTGCTGCTGAAACTGCTTTATATATTGTCTTTATGTCCCAAAAGGAATCGTGTACGTCAGAAAGAAGAGGACAGGCTTATCAAAAGAGAGGGAAAAAGTATTTTTTTAAAGAATAAAACACAGTCTGAACACAGTTCAGATGAGAGAAGAAAGGAGGTGGTGGAAATGTTAATATTTTCATCTGAATCTCATTCAGTTATTGCCCTGAGCTCAAAGCAGCAAGCTGAATGAGCAGCAGTGAGTGGTACAGTGTAGAACTGCATTCAGCGTCCCAGGCTGAATGCAGGCTCCCTCCATACATTAATTCAACATGTTCTGCTTACCCGGGGCCGGGTGGTGAGGGCAGCAGACTTAGGAGTGTATTCCAGATGTCCCTCTCTCACGCAATGCTTTTCAGCTCTTCCTGGCTGGCCTACATTGTTGGTGGAGGTATTAGCATCATATGGAGCATGAAATGAAGACATGTTTCAGGTCTAGAAAATACTTCTATCTCCTCTGCATGTTTTTCGGATACATTTTTTAAATTTGAATCAATATACTTCACATACATTTCAGGTTCAACTCTTCGACCAGAACAGTCGGGCAAAAATGATGCAATATGCTTACATAGGCTTTATTGTTTTTGACATGCATGCAGAGTAATTGCATGTGCACAAAAACAAACTTCCAGTTTTCAGTTTCTGGTTGCGTGCTTCCAGTAATGCGATACTAAACTATACCTCTTCACTTTTCATACGTAAATAGGATAGATATAGATATAGATTTCAACAGGGACAAAACGAGTGTAATTCAGACACCAAATATGGTAAAATATAGTATTATTTGCATTTGAAACAGTTTTGGCCTCAACATTCATACCCAGTAGGCACATCTATGGGAGAAACTTGGGGTTAAGTGTCTTGCCCAAGGACACATTGACATGGATTAGTGGAGCCGGGGATCGAATCGCCGATCCTCTGATTGAATGACGACCCTGCTCTACCACTGAGCCACAGTCACCCATTACTGCTGTAACAAAAGCTTTCCTCAAGCAACACATCTGTTAATAATCCAGTTTGTTATGTACTTGACACGTTAACAGGAAGATGTTCCTACTTCAATCTGCACACATGTTGATGCTCAGCTTCCAGTTTCTTTTACCAACGACTGCCTATTTCTTCTTTTCTTATTCAACTGTTGCTCAGAAGGATCATTGTTTCTTTCTGCCTTTTCAACTATTGTACAGCGCTTCGTTCTCCGTGTACAAAACAAACGCTTCGTAAAAAAAAAAATTCTATTTGTAAAGAAAACTTTCCACCACTTATTGACAATGAATGACAACAACAAGATATAACGTATTTCTGTCAGCCATCTGACTGTAACGAATCAAGCTTTTGTGGCAGTTGACTTTAGCGGTGGTGTTCATTGATCACTGAACCATGCAAAATGGATACGACACCCAGTACTCTCCAGCAAGTATCATCCACACCAAATAAGCTAAAAAAAGACAGCATCCACAAACCCTAGCAATCTTCACAATTCATAAAATGAGGCCAGTATCCGTATATATAAATACGGACATGATAATAAGGTTGCTAACCTTTTAAAAGGAACAATGAAATAAAACAACTCTACTCGAGCCTTGAATTTGCCCACAACTACATCAAAATGTGGCCTATATTTCAGGTTACACAATGTCCCGAAACACTTCTAAATGTCCGAGTAGATATATGCTGAAGTAATTAATCGTTTTCTTGAGACTGGAACATCAGAAATGTAGTCTCTCTCACAGCTCAGGTTTTGGCCATAGAGTTCATGTGACATAGAAGTTTCTGAAAGTCTGCCCTGGCAGACCCTCGGTTCGACCAGGCTAAACTTTTGTTCATTCAGATATACCGATTAATTCAAGGAGAAAGAGCATGGCTGAAGGAGGACAGAGAGTAGTAAAGAATACATTAAGGAAAGGGAGGGAGGGGTGGGTGCATTTAGTACACATGCCACATGCAAACCAACCCCTCTCCCAGTGCCAGGCCAGTTCTTAAGCTTTTCTCCCACCTGTGACAAAAAATTCCTCCATACAAATTTAAACTAATTCTTCCATTTTTTTCCCCCCATTTCCACACCCTTACCTTCTCACCTTCCCTTTTGTTGTGTTATTTGTGGCAACCTATTTAAGATGTAGTATAGTGGTGTGAAAAATAAGCTTTTGTGGCACAACTCTGGGCCACCCCCTCAGTAAATGTATTCCTGTGTCCTCTTACACTTGAAAAGCACACAAGGTCCAGCCAGACATTCAGTAATGCTAGGAAGTCCAACAGAATGTGACAGTGGACAGGATGGAAACTAATACGCACCAACGACAAGAAGAGAGGAGCTGGCGTGTGTGGGTGTGTGTGTGTGAGTGTTTTAGAGAGAGACTAATGGAGAGAGAGACAGGCACACAGCTTGGAAGCACATGAGAGCAGAGAGATGCCGTGGTTTTCACAAAGTTGACAGTATTATTGTCTGCTTGACAAACATGGACTTCAGTATAGTACTAAGCTTAATAGATTTATTGAGACTGGATTATTTTGAGTTTAAGGGCATCAACAGAATAGATTGTCTCGTGTCAACAGGGAGGTTATTCCAGAGGAAAGAGGCACAATAAGAACAGGCCCTGCAGCCAGCAGGAATTTTGGCTCTTGGTCTCTTGGACATTTATAACAGGCTGGTCCTTAGAATGACTCATGGTATATTGGACTAGTGGGACCATCCACTCCTGAAAGAGTTTAAGCTTTCGACCATGAGGATGTCGTTTCGGGGCAGCCGTTAGGAGCACTAAACAATTCCACGTCTGTCCAGCCGAATATGGTTTCTGTTTGGGATTCTGACAGCTTTATACTCTGCCATAAACCATTTCTAGTCGTACTCAGCAACTATCAATACTGCTCCAGCTCAAACATCTGGCATTTCAACAGCTTCAATCTTAAACTGACAATTTGTTACAGCAATGTGTTCATTAAAGGTGTGGAGCTTTAATAAAATGAGTACTGATTCTGCAACTACAGCTTTTCGAAAGTCAATCAATCAGATTTTATCTGCTGATCTTACATTTAACAAATGACTCCTCACTAAGTCCGTAGCATCCGCCGGCTCAGACCAGTGTCCGACCACTCTCCAGCTCTGCTCCTTGGACTCTCATGCAATCGTTTCAGATTTTCTTCATTCAAGGCTGATTTTGTGGATTTCCAACTCGTTGTGTACTAGTGATACTTGTTACTCGGAGAGGTTGGAAGGAGATAAACCTTTCTAAAACATTACGTAATTTCCACGTAAAAAGCAGGGTGGGTTTGCACATCGTTAACTAGAGTTAGCACTTCGATGCTAGGCTAGCTAATGAAGGTGAATGTATACAAGTGCTGCTTTTGCTTTTTAATGATTGTAACAGTGAAGAAATACCAACCCAGGTTTACAGAAACAGTGTTGCTCCTTACTCTCATTGTCCTCCGTCGCGATTGCCAAGTGATGTGATGGTTCACTTTTAGACTGTGATCGGTAGATTTTAGCTACTATCTTTATCTTTTTAACCTGTTATCACTGCTGAATCAGTTTGACATTCTAGATGTATCCTTCAAACACATATTGTAAACCGTTCTGTCTGCTTCTCTCTGAAATCACTTTTTATTTTCCCCCAAAAATGGATATTATTATTTAGTAAGTGCAGTTAGTGACAGTGTGGGCTATGGTAGCTCTGACAGCTGATGGAGTAGCAACGGGGGGCAGAGCTTAGCAAAGGGTCAATTTCTGTTCAGCCACACTTATTGCCAAGCTAAGCATATATTCATGTGGTCATGCATCTAAATAGAAAATATGTTTAAATGAGTTTTAAAGTAATGTAAACTGGTTGATTTAATCAATTACCATCAATTAATTTAACATCTAAATGAAAACACAGATTCATTCGTGATGGCATAAAAGAACTCGGAGGTGGTGACCTCAAGCTGCACTGGGTCTGTTTGCATCTGAATGCAGAGCAGTCTGAGATCCTGGTGCTCTGCCCCAACACAGCGGATTTAAATGAGTTGCTGCCAAGTAAAGGATTTCCGTATCTTGTGCTTTTGTCCACAAGTGAGAGCAGGCTGTAGAGTGAACTCTGGGAGACCCGGTCAAACGTAAGGCAAGGCAAGGCAAGGCAAGTGTATTTGTGTAGCACACTTCAAAAACAAGGCAATTCAAAGTGCTTCACATAAAACCATTAAAACCATCAAAACATAAGGCAAAAGAAAAGGAGATTTAAAAATAATTAAGAACATTGATTGAAACATTAAAAACAGTCATTAAAACACGAAAAAGCAGTGTAAGAAATAAAATACAGTAGTATAGTAAAATACAGAAATTGATTAATATCCTTGAATCTGGTTGAATTAAAGGCAGCAGCAAACAGACAAAGTCTTCAATCTTGATTTAAAGGAGCTGAGGGTCTCAGCAGACATGCAGCAATTATTTTACTTAACAATGGGAGTTTTGATATTGGCCTTTAATTCTTCATTGTTGCAGAGTCTAAATTAGCCTTCTTTAGGAGCGGTTCAATAACTGCAGTTTTTAGGGCTTGTGGGAAGACACCTGAGAGAAGGGATGTGTTTACAATTTGTAAAAGATCAGTGGTCATGCAGTTTGAAATATATTTGAAAGAGTGTGTTGATGTGTCAAGGTGAAGAGAAAGCTCTTAAAGTGAAGCTGCAAGTTTACAAGTGAATTTTAATCCCAATCCTTTCAAATAGACAAGGAAGTCGTCAACATTTGATCACAGTTACAGGCAGCCAATGGTGGCAGGGTTCACTCTTAGTTATAGGACAAGAAGGTTGAATATCTGGAAGCAGCTCAGTAGAGAGTTTATGTTGAAGTAAGTCCTTTGCAAAGGATCATGATTTAGTCCCATATATATTGAAGTAGCCTAGAAGTTGTATCAAACAATGGATATAGTCAACAACTGACTGTCAAATGAAATAAAGAAAGTTTCACTGAATAATATCTATATTAGTATAGTATTAGTATTAGTATATAAACAATATTCATTGTGAGATTTATATATAATAAATACATTTTCTCCTCTAATTTCAAGTAAGACAAGGGCTGGATTAAAAATAAAATGAGAAATACATAACACGAAGCTTTTGAAAAATGTGACTCTTAAAATAAAGTACTTAATGAATAAAATAATAATTTAACTGAATTGTTCTTGCCCTGCAGCTTTATATTCATTTCATTCAGTTGTAAAATGATGTGATAACCACATTCTCATGTGTTCAGGGACTTTATCTGTGCTTATTGAAAGCCCTTGGTCCAGCTCTATTGCTCTCTGTTTACAGCATTGTCTGTGAATTAATCTGTTTGAATTCTGATCATATTGGGCTCTTAGGTTTATTTTTAAAACACATATTTGATTGGCTGAGTATCACGTGATGTGATTTAAAACGCATGTAATTGGTCAGTGTGTTTCCTGGACAGCTGAACGAGTGCCATAAAGGCTGGAAAAGCTGCACCGGTTAAAATAGAAGCACTCCGTTGAAATTTAGTAATTCTTGATTATCGGTTATAGGTCTAGGTTTTGGATACAACGCTGTCTGGTTCCAGACCCGGACCGCCTATTGGTGACCCCTATTTTAGGCGATCAAAGGAAGGGTTACAGTTGTGATGTATACATCCCAGCTGAACGTACAAAGTGACAGCGTGACTGTGTTAACCATTGTCCTGTTCTTCCGTAAAGCCTCTGCTTTAAACCATTTCTATTTAATAACTCGACAAAGATATTAAATCAGCTTATTGGTTTACCAGAACTTACAATAACAAAAATAAAATCACACTTTTAGGAGTCAATTAGCCTATGCTAACCTTACAAAATATGTCTCTACAAATGTAATACAAAAATGAAAAGAATCAGAATCAGAACCGTTTAATTGCCAAAGTATGTCGCACATACAAGGAATTTGACTAGGTGGATGGTGCGTAACATTAACAATCAACACAGTGGAAAATACTGACATGATAGACATGATCTAAAATAGAAACATTGAAATTTACAATAAAATATAAAAATATGGTAAATAAACAAACAAATAAGAGTATGGTTTGTGTCCAGGGTGAGAGGGGTTGGCTACAATCCCTCTTGCTCACTTCAGGGTCCTGGAGGCGAACAAGTCGTGGAGGGATGGCAGATTACAGCCAATCACCCTCTCAGCAGAGCGAATGATGCGCTGCAGTCTAAACTTATCCTTGGCAGTGACTATAGCGTACCAGACGGTGATGGAGGAGCAGAGGATGGACTCAATGATGGCAGTGTAGAAGTGCACCATCATTGTCTTTGGCAGGTTGAACTTCTTCAGCTGCCTCAGGAAGTACATCCTCTGCTGAGCCCTCTTGGTGATGAGACCACTTGAGGTCTTGGCTCATGGTGGAGCCCAGGAAGTGGAAGGACTCCACAGCGTCGACGGAGGAGTCACAGGGTGATGGGGGCAGGTATGGCTAAAGGAGAGGCAGGTACCCTATAAACCTGTAAACCTGACTGAGGGTAAACTTATGACGCCTTTAAACCACAATGCTTATGATATCAGTCTTTAACCTGGCAGGAAATACATAATACGTTTAAGCTGATATGAACAGTCAACAGCTATTACCTCTTTTAACTCTTTCAACTAACATGAATCAACAGCAATCTACGGCATTAACTACTGGGGGCACACAAAGGAAAATTAAACTCAAAGCCGACAATAAACAAATAAAACAAGGCCTGAATGTAGCTTGGAAGCGACGAGTGTGTGTGGTAACTTAAACCGGTACCAACATGTTTCAACTGCTTTTTCCAGAGTCCACCTTAGCGGAGACTGGCCCTGACTGCACTTAGTGAACTCTTTGCTGAAGAGGACAGGGCCATCACCTCAACACACATGGCACAAGTACCATCATGTTGACTGACACAGAGGGAAACATGTTTTGGACTTGTACAGGAGCCAACCTGTTGTGGTGACCTAAACCAACCTAGTAGTCTGGTGTTGGGAGAGGAAATCGACTCTACCCATCTTGTTTAAATTAAGTACCTAGTACTTGTGTTCCAAGCCTCCTCAACTCCATCGTAGCAAACCTTCTCAACAGCTGGGGACACCATCAGTGTGGAAACGTCCTGTCTCGTACCAGAAAAAGCATATAATCTTCCTCAAAAAGAACTGCTCACATACCAACCTGTTCCTTGATATTGGTTGACCTTAAACAATGTCTGCCTCTTGCACACGCACACACACACACACACACACACACACACACACACAAGAACATTCACTCAGTAGGCAGTTTTAGGGTAGGATAGTTCATACATTGTTAACTAAATGCATTTGTAGTTGGATTTTTTTATGTTGTCCAAAATTGATGTTTTGATTACATGGACTTTGTTTCCTTTTGATGTGTCAACATCAGCAATTAGATAATAAGGCAATTTACATAACAAACTGAATTTGACTGTTGACTGAATTTCAAGAAGATAAAATGTTTACACAATAAACAAATATACATATAGTAGAGAAAAGAGCTGTAGTCATTTATAGAAACATAGTTGGTCTAGTAATGAGGCAGGGGTTTTCATTTCGGTGTGGTATCGGTATTGAATTTAGGTATCGATATTGGAAGCAGTATTGAAAAGTTTCAAACAATACCCAACCCCAGCTAAGAGCAATCAGTTTGCCGTGTTTCTCTCTATCGCTCTGGCTACTTCTCCAACCCCTTAATAAACAAGTATAATTGTGTGGATGTAATGTCTCTCTATGGACCAATCTGGGGCAACAAAAATAAAAACACTGTGAACATAAGCAGATAGTCTGTCTCCCCTTGGGTCGCGACTACGTTTCAAACAATCAATGAAAATCTTAAGTGACATGGCCAACTATTGTCTTAACTGTAGTATTTCTACTGCTATGCACATTTTAACTCTGTGGATTTACCCAGAGTCCATACGGACCTGCTATAGAGAGTTTTGAACAGTGGGGTTTGAGCTCCATTCACACAGTTTTGTATCCTTTGATGTCAGTGAGCTTTATGGAGAATCCCCACTGATGAAGCAGTGATGCTTATTAGGGTCGAGTCTAGATAGATACCCTGGAGCATGACAAATAAACAACATCAAAATTTGCTCTGCTGCGAATACAGCAGTTTGCCTCAAATGGCACATTCATACTGGTGGTGATGCAAATTTGCAACAGTTGTAGCACTTCTCTAAAAGTTTTGAATAGATTTGATAGCAGTATGTGGTACACATTCTCTAAGCTGCACTACTCCAGTATGAACTTCATCCAACAAATCAATCCGCATATCAACTAGTGAGCAAGAACCACACCCACACAGTGCTGATGCAGCAGATTGCTCAACTTTGATTGCTGCTTATTTAGTCACTAATATTTAATGCCATACAGAAAGACTGAATATTTGAAAACAAGTTCTCTGGGTCTTTAAAACAGCCTCACATTTTCTTTTCTGTTGAGTCTAAATGAGTAAAAAATGAGGGCAAATATTAAAGTGCCAAAAGGAGTTGCATTACTGGATTTATCCAAGGACTACAGTATAATTTCAGAGAAAAAACAATGTTTTATTTGTTATCAAACTGATGAAAAAAGGTTATGAAAAGTAACAATTATAACACAAAAAATGTGAACTCCAGGCAAGTAATAGATTGCACCTTCACATCATTAAATGACAATGGCAGATAATGGAAACACAAATGAACAGTAACATATTGTTAACTAATGATAAAAAGGTGACAAAACAATGATTTGAGGTGACCAGTCCCACTTCAGCCCTGACCCCCACCCCCCCACATACACACACCACCACCATTTTAGCTCGTTTGAACCGTGAAAACCCATCCATCACAGCCTCTTTGTCTTCCTGCATTTGTCATAACACTGAGTTTATTCTCTTTCCAAAAAGAAATATCACTAGTGTAACCCAGAACAAGAAAGCCATGATACAGAAGGAAGGGCACCTTCGCTGGACAACTGCAAGTAGTTCAATATTCATGCAACTTTAGAAACATCTCAGGTTAGAACTCTAGGCTAACAATACATTTTATTCTTTATGAAATATCAATATGATTCTCCACATTCCAGCTTTTTCTCCATTAAAATTAACAGTTAATAGATTCTTTCATAAAATACGTCGATAAATCATGTGTTCAGTCTGTACAATAGAAGTACTAAAAATTACAACTGTCGTGATATATGTACAGTTTTCTACCTACAAAGTACAACAGCTAGCATGTAATAAAATATGTAAACAAATTTTTATGTTTTTGACACAGTTTACTGTGACAGCAGATAGAATTCACACTTTCAACATTTGATTTATTTCTGTATACACATTTGTTAACAGTGTTTAGCACTGCATTTATCTTTCTCCTCACTCCTCCATAGAAAATGAGAACAGCAACGAACCAACATACAGTTTTGCAAAAAGATAAAACCACCACTGGCTGTGCATCAATAATAGATTTTTTTAAGATATCATGTTTTCCATGTTTAACATTTTTGAGGGTTTCAAAAAGAGGATAGGGTCTAAGTTCTGATCGGATAATGAAGAATTGTTTGGCATCAACGAAGAGAACATGGTCCAATTTGAACACTGTATACTGGACTTTTACTGTACTGGACTTTACTGTAGCATTAGGATGGCATGCATTTGACAATCAGTTGCTTTTTACCTTGAGAACCAGCCACTGCTTTCCACAAGGTGAGTCACTCTGTCTGTCAAACAATGACAAGAATTGTGGTGAATCAGATGCCAGAGCGTACGGATTTTAGGAGATCTGTCCATGGCACAATTTGCTCACTCGGTATCATTCATACACAGAAATAGTCTTTTCTTGCTGTTCTTTTTGTCATTTTTTCCCTTTTGCTTAAAGCAAAATAAGTCAGACACCACACTTGTATTATGTATAAACCATAAAAAATGTGTCATACTCTGATGCATCAAGAGTCCTTTTTTAACTTTTACAATGACAGTGTGCCTGACCCCCCTCTCGTTAAGCACTACATGTTGCTTACATGCTGAAAATGTAAAGATTATGAGCCTTTTGTAATTAACAATCTTACAAAAACAATTTTTGTTTAATGCCAAGGATCACATAGCTCTAAAAGTCACTTAGGAGAATGATGTAGCTGTGAAATATTTCTATACTGATAACGTCTCGGACCAGATAGAAGAGTAAGGTCTCTAAAGTTGCTAGTTAGCCTTGTCGTTATGCTTACAATAGTAAGTGTGCTTTATATTACAGTACATATCATCATTTCAACTACTCAGCACAGTATAAGATTATTCAAGTTCCATGTTATACCATCATTTGTCATAGCTCCTCGCAAGGAAACTGATAAGTAAATGTTCTGTTAGTGCTTTCTTTCTTCACTCTCTCATGCTCACAAAAGTCTCACAGTCACACATAGTACTCCTTATCCTTATTTTTCTGTTTCTTGTTGCTGCCTTTCAAGCTCTGCTGTTTGTCCTTCATGACAGCGCCATTGCTCTGCACAGCTGAGTTGGTTATGTAGTTCCTGCTCTCGTCCACCTGGTAGGAGCCTTCATCCCTGTTCCTGTACTTATACATGGCATACAGAAGGATGAGGATGCACAGGGCAGCGGCCGCCACTATTCCGATGACCATCCCGGTGGTGCTGCTAGATTCACGGACCACTTCCGAGGGCCCTGGAACTCGCCTGACGCCCGGCTCTGTGGGGAGTGCTGTGGGTATATTACGGAACATTGGGGAGGTTATTAATGGGCCCCTCAGCTTGGTGCTGTCTACCTCAAAGGATGTGGGCAATGGAAGCAACACTAGGTCGGGCTGGGGTTTTAGCTTGCGGTTATTCATTTTGCCGGCTGTTTGGCCGGAGCATTGTTGAGGGGTGCGGTGGAGGCAGAGGTGGCGGTGGTGCGGCTCTGGTCGGCGGTTAGTAGTGTGGCGGTAGTGGTAGTCCTAACGCGTCTGGAGATTGGGATTGAAGGTTTGTTAGGTCTAAAAGTCTTGGGTGCGTGAGTATTGTAGCCACCTTCAAAGCCTGACGTGGATGAGGTCTTATCTGTTACCAAGGAGAAGGTCGTGTAAAAATCTTCATCATCAGTAGGGGGCAGGTTAGACTTCAACGCTTCCCCAGAGCCATACCCCGATATCACCAAGCCATCATCATCACAATCATCGCTGCCTCGGTTCGACAAGCAAGGTACCCCCGCCTCAGTGGCCTTGGACAGGGACTCTTTGGTGGTCTCAACAATGGTGAGGAGTGAGTGGTGTGTTGAGGGAGTGGGAATGAAGGGTGCACAAGGAGCTACAGAGGGGTGCACTAATGGATCCTGAAGTACTGGGATGACTAACTCAGCTCCTGGGGTTGGAGACAGACAGGCAGTCATGTTAGAAGCCAGCATGGGGATTTTATGACATATACTAAAATAAACACATCTGGACAAAACAGGCAACAACTAAATATCAATTTAAGACTGCTAAAATAAATAAATAAAATAAATGATATATTGCAAAGGTTTAAGAGGATGAGCCAGAAAATGTAGTTAAATATGCATTAAATGCAATGTGCTCGCTAGAGTTGTTTTTTACTAAATATCCTTTCAAAAACTTTGAAGGGAAAGTACAATCTTTAACTGTAAACTGATAAACTGCATTACTAAATACAAAAAGAATTCTGAAAAAGTATTAAGCCGAGTAGTTACAGTCAAAATACTAGAGTTTTTCTCATCCCTTTATTCCCCCATTTATTAAATAAGAAGTAAAACTTATATTGTTAAAAAAAGACTTTCCTGCAGTAAGCCAGATCAAACAAAATGTATTATCCAAACTGCAAACTTGCTATCATAATGGAAATGGCAAAGGCTCTCCAATCATCTTAAACCCATTGCTTTATTCACAGAAAACTATAATTATAGTTATAATTATAATTATAATTATACTACAAACATTTCTCAGATGCAGAGCTGTTCTGGAGGTAAAGTTATCTCAATCTTAAAGTCACCTTTCAGTGAGAAAATACAAATAACCAGTTTGTTTGTTGTAGCCGCCTTGAACAGTGAAGATGGAACTGTTTGTAAAAACTGAATTAGAGAGAAATGAATTAGATGCAAATTACTGATATCTTCATTCTCAAGAGAAGTCTGGTTAATCACTTCTGATTGGACGCATTTTCCAGGCAATTTTTCATGATATATGACAAATAATTCCATAAAGTCAACCGCTGTATTGCCATGTGCAAACCATTTGTGGACACTAAAAATCTGAAAGTTTGCATATCATGACCTAGAGTTCACTACCAAGAAATGTGTAGATTTTAGTTTCTTGTAGCTAATTAGTACAAACTATCAACAGGTCAGGATCAAATGTGTGCAAATGACATGGAAGGTATTCCAGAGAGTGGAACACTAACAGACTAGATAGCTACTGGGATTGTAGAAAGCTTTTGTCACAAATCAGGGAGACTGATCATGGAAGTGTCATTATGCTGACATAATTTTGATTTTGTTGTAAAAGCAGCTCTGCGACCAAGAAAAATCTGTGTAACTATAACGGCTTTAAGTTTATACTTTATCAATGGCAGAGCAAAGTCACCTGAATGCTCACCCTTTGTGAAATACTAGCCTGAGTGAAAGATGTCATGTACCTTCATCCGGCTTCATTTTGCAGTTAGCCTCTTGCTCACCAGAAGAACAGGAGACCAGGTCCCCGAACAAATCTATTCTATACATACATGCTCTTACTTTATACTACAATAATCAATATATCTTCGTAGGCACTGGTAATTGTAAAATATAAAATCAGAACAATTATTTTCAACTGTAGTATATAATATCTGAGCTCAAATCTACACTGTATGAATCTGACACATTAGACAGCATTATTAAGTGACTTCTATTTGTTGTGCTGTTAGTTCACCAGATCACTTTCTGCTGAGCTTGCTAATTATAAGGCTTTTTAGGGATGTGTTTATTTCCTCACCATAATCCATGAATCCTTGTTCCATTTGACAATCTTGATAAATAACCCTCTCTCTATTCTTTTTCAATTGCATAAACAGTCTTGGTAGAAATGACTCATTACTAAAAATGAAATATCATTGTCCTTTCTGTATTTGTTAAAAACAGAGGATGTAACATAGAGCTGGGCTTACTGAGTTGCCCAACACTACAATTCAATAACAACAAAAGGCTTTAAATTACCACATCTATTACACTGTAGTAATGTTGCTCTGTATGTTTCTCTATGCGCTGTATCAGTACCGCTTCAGTCATTGCAGATTCTTTATGAAGTGTTGAACATCAGTTCTGAAAATATAAATAAAGTTTTTTTTCTCTATCTGCATCACCTTCAGTGCTAAATAGCACATTTTAGAAAAAAGTAGATGTTCTGGTGACATGGGCCCTCCTTACTTAGAAGGAGAAGTGCAACAAAGTTAGATTTATTCATCATGGAAATATGATCTCACGCAGGTATTATTGGAGTGAACATTCAAAGTGCCATTGACATGAAAAGTATCCACCGCCATCAAGCATGTGCATACTGAATCTTTGACGCACATTGCATATACTTAAAGCAAACTGTTGAGTAACTCACCAGCTATCACAAACACCAACATATGCATTCACAAGCACAACACTCTGTATTCTATCATGTCAAACTGTTGAAGATGCATTCAGTTCTCAATGTTCATAACTTGATTGGAGATGCAGTTTGTAAGCTTTTTGAAACCTTCTTTTAACAGATGCTGTAGTAGGTAGGTGAAAGTAAATTTAGCATTTTATATTCATATATAATAGAAGTATTACTCAATGATGAATAGTGGGTCAACTTATGTCATGTGATGTGATCCTATTGAATCATAGTGTACCATGTGATAACAGGATTTTTGAGTTGGTTTATCATGTAGCACCTACCACGTTAACTAGTCACTTTGCTTTTAGTGTGAAGTACACAAGAATACAAATGTTGAGACGCTCCACTATTCATATTTTACAGACTGCATCTTGAAAAAACAATTCAAAGAGAGTGTAAACATACATACTGTGTGTTGTCAACTTACATCAACAAATTGCCCACATGATTTAGGCATGAAGAAAAGATTTTACAAAGGAAAAGTTGTGTAAGAATGTTGGATAGCCACTTGGTACCGTTAAAGATCATTTTTATCCATTGTAGATTGTGTTCTATCTTAAACACGAAGGTACAGGGAGGCAACAACACATACATCCACAACACATAACATAAAAAATAAACACCATAATTCTGTTTTTTATGTTTTGTTTTTTCCTGGTAAATAGTTTGTTTGTATTTTTTTTTTACAAAAAAATGTGTATCTACATTTTTTTCATTGCAATAGACTTCAATAGTATCTAAAATCTATTCATGTTACAGTTTTTGCTTTAATTGTAATTTGATCTTTAATGTAGAATGGATGGATGACATTATACTTTAATATCTCTAAAGACAAGGGAGAAGGTGAAGAGGGGGGTGGGACCTATGAACATACTACATAGGATATGAGGGTGATGAGGGTGACAGTGTAAGTCAGTTGCCATGTCCATGTAAAGGCAGTACGAAGCGGTCGGGCGGCATTAGAGCTTTTGGCTGTAAGGAAGGGATGGGGATATACAAACAATGAGCAATATACATGCCCATCTACAGAAAAGAACAGAAGAACTCTAACACTGACAAGTCTGACAAACCCTAAACTGCAACTTCTTAGCCATGCAATTCATTTGTTTTTTGTCTTACAGTCAAAATATTATTCAACAAAGATTAATTTGTTTTGTCAAGATAGATTTTTAGAAAATCAGACAAATGGAAGATATGTGAGAAGAGGATCGGGAACTGCTCCACCTACTAATTTGTGGGCTTTTTGTATATGTTTAAAAAAAATGCATGAAGTTGAGTTGATCGAGCAACTGTTGCCGATTTTAACTTTCCTCTTTTAATTTAATATTTGTCAGGAAAGCATACTGTAGGAAATAAAACACACAAGTTAGTCACTGAAGTAGTTCCAAATAAATAAAAAAAAGTCTAATTATATCAAGAAATATTTCACACTGTGTTTTAAATATTATCTGATTGACAATAAAACAAACCAAACATACATAATAAGCCAAAAACCATAATCAGAACCAAAATGGCAGTGATCAATTGGATAAATACAAAAAATATGACCGGTTAAAACTGTCAAATGAAAAATGTTAAGATGGAAGAACAAAGCCAAAATATTGCACACACTACAACCAGATGCACACAATATAAAACAGACACTGTTGAGAGAGGCACTCGACTGGAGGACGAGCTCCTCTCTCGTGTGACAAATCTATCCGTATGTTAGTCTTTAAACATGAACCGGCCGTGCATTCCGGGTGTACATCAGAGAGAGACGGTACTGGCTGAGGATGGGTTATTATTATTCTTTGGTTTTGTTTTAGTTGTCCTGCAGGATGTTGATGCATGCTTGAAGTAAGTTGCATTTAGGGAAAGTAGAAAAGAAACAACACAGCAAACTGGGAGCAGGTAAGACTGACCAATGTTAGAAAAATAGGAGACGGACACTGTGTCCCAATCCCTTACTATTAATGAATGGTTAATAAAGTTTGTGCTGACAAGAAACCATATGTGATACTCATGAAACAACATGTGTGCAGACAGACGTCAGTCAAAGTGCGACTTTGTAAAGCTACAGCCAATTCTTCTCTATTTCTGTTGTGCG